TACTTATTTATTTATTTATTTATTAATTTTTTATTATTGTTATTATTATTTATTATTCATTATTACTGTTCCTGTTACTACTTATTAGTATTATTATTTATTGTTTATTGCTTATTGTTTATTATTTACTATTTATTGTTTATTATTCATTATTTATTATATCTCATTTATTATTTGTTAATTATTTTTTATTATTTATCACTTATTATTTATTGTTTATTATCCATTATTTATTATTTATCATTTATTACTTGTTATTTATTATTTTATGATTCATTTCCTGTTATCAATTATTTACTTTTTATTATTATTATTATCGTCATTAATCATTAATTATTATTACTATTATTAATCATTGATTATTATTACTGTTATTAATCAATAATTATTATTACTATTACTATTATTATTAGTAAACAACATGTATCATTAAGTATATTTAATTGAACTTTCGAACAATTCAATAACTATGCACATTTTTTTGATATTTTTATTGATTTATTAATACATTAATAACTTTATTAATTTAGATATTATATTGATTGATCGATTAATGATTGATTTATTATAATTTGAATTTATCCATAATTTGAAAAAAAAGATTAAACAGGAGGATAGTTAGAACAAATTACCTATGAAATGATTCATATTTGCAAAATCATTTCATCGAATGTTTCTTCATCTCTCTGCCTACAACTTTTGGAAACTTAAACATTTAAGCAGACAAAAACACTCAAACAAATACATTTGCGCACACAGACACAGACACACACATACAGACACAGTCACTCACACAAACACACACAGACAGACAAACACACACACACACACACACACACACACACACATACAATCGTCCACATGCATAACTTATAATGGCAAATTATTCATTGGTTGCCTTTTGAATGGCAACATTTCGGGAATGTTTTGAACATATTTTTCACTGAAATACAATTTTTTTTTATAAATTTCAAATTTCATTTTATTATAATTTCGACGAAATATTTGGTTTTAATTAAAAATTTGTTGTAAATTTTGATAATTTTTTGTTAATTTAAAAGATTATTTATTTAACTTTTTTCTTAAAATTTAATTTTTATTTTTTTGTAGAAATCAATTCATTTGTAATATAATATATAATGTAATTTATTGAAAGTTTTAATTCGAAAATAAAAATTTATTAAATTTCAACTTTTTCACTTTTATTACATTTCATTTTATTTGATGCTAATTACTTGTTAAATTACAAAATTTCTCCCCTTGCTATTTACAAAAAAAAAAATTTCCATTAATAATAAGCATGTTAAAATGATGCTTAAATTAAGTGGGAAAAAATTCATAGCAGTTTTAAATTTTGTAATTATTAATTAATTGTTAATTATGAATATCTAAGAATTAGCTATAAGATTCTTTTGATTAATTCTCAGCTTATTCCAAAGGAGATGTATGTATAAGTTTGGTTTTTTTATGAAATGAAACTTCTAGTGATATTAATCAATTAAACATTTTATTTTAATCAATTTATTATTGATTCGATAATTTGTAAAATATTTGAAAGGTAAAATTTTTAAAAGAAAAAATGATAAATATTTTTGTATTGTCATTAAAATTTTTGATTATAATTTTATTTTTTTTTGATTTTTGAATTTTAATCGAAATTTTTGAAAAATTTATTGATAGATTTAAATTTAGCAAATTTTAATGCAAATATTATTATTTGTAGATGTTTACCCAAAATGAGGAACAATGGAAGGAAACAAATGATTTAGGTAGTAGCGAATATCGCCAACGTATTACCCATGAAAATATTTGCAATTGCAATAATAATTTGCGACGATATCATACGTCACGATCATTATCGCAAGATTTGCGAAAATCAACAGATTATTGTGCTGGATTTAATGATTATATGACATTATATCCATCAAATCTTTGGTATCAAAATGACCTCAAAAGGCGTAGTCGACAACAATATCGTCATAGTTCAAATGATTATTCCAATTTCTCCAATAATTATTCTCGTAATCAACAACGTTATCGTGAAAGTCGCAGTGAAGGAAGTTATAAATGTCGCAAACATTGGGATACATTCGACCAAATGGTAACCAATGGTCAAACTGATCAATTTGTTGAGGAAAATTTTAAAAATCATCGAACAGTTCGCTTCATCCCGATGACATTTGTTTCGACATTACCTAAAAATGATTCATCAAATATTCAAATACCTACTACCACTACTACTATCACTACTACTACCAGTACTACTACTATCACTACTACTACTACTACTACTACTTCTACTGCCACTACTACTACTACTACTACTACTACTAGTACTGTCTCGAGGAATATTCCAATTGATATCGATAATTTATCAAAAGTAGCAACAAATACATCTTATTATGGACCATTTCTTGCTCGTAAAATAAGAATTACACCAGCAATAATACCAATTACAACAAGAAGATATCGATCAGTTCATGAGCGTTATTCATTGGAACGAAAATATTTGCGCAATAATGAATCGAAAAGCGACAATAATTTAACAAATGTGACATTATCAGATGACAAATTAAACAATTCAAGAATTATATCTAATACTATTCCAAAATATATTTGCAATGAATTTGATGAAATACCATTATTTATGCCAAAAAATTCCAAAGCTTATGATCAAATCAATCTATCATCATCATCATCATCATCAACGATGGACGATAAATTGAAGAAAAAATCATTAACAAAAGAAGAGCATCATGAAACTGAAACTGGACATGATACATTAATGGAAGGATTAGCATTGCTAAAAGAACATCAGAAGAAAGTGGAAGATGAAAAAGGAATTTCGGGAATATTCGAGAATAATCAAATAAATATTACAAAAAAAAATTCCGAAATTCGTGAATATTTGCAGGAAAAAATGCAACAATTTGCAATTAAAAAAATTGCAACTTATTGGCATAAAAAAACATTGAAAAAACGCAATGAAATAGATAATAAATATTTAAAAAAATTAAATTCGACAAAGATCAATGATCATTGCTTATATGATAAGTATATGAATGAAAATGATATGATAAAATCACAACCAATATTAACAACAAATATTGAAAAGACATCAACCAATGATATTATTAATGATGTTTGTAGTAATAAATCAAAATTTATTATGGAAAAATTTAGTGAAGAAGGAGAAAAATTATGTAAAATTTTCAATGAAGCAGAAATGATTAATGATAAGAAGATGGATGAATCAAAGAATGGAATGATTTCAACTGATACAGGTTATTTATTCCGATTTTTTTTCCTTTTTAAATTTTTCTTTTTTAAATTTTATTTTAATATTTATTAAATGTTAACTTCATTTATATTAATTTATTTGAAATAGAAATCATTTGAATTTTTCTATATAAAATTTTTAAAATTGATTTTGAAAAAAATTTTTTTTTCTAAATGATTGAAGTAAATTTTTATTTTTTCTGATATAACTTGTAATAAGTTATATAACAAATATGTAATTATCCATATATTTGTTAAACTGGTTTTGAAATTTTGCAATTATTGGATAACGAAATTTTACTCTAATCATTTATCATCTTTGTTTTTTTTTTTTGAGTGGTGAAATTTGCAAAATATAATTAAAGAATTACTTAAATAAACAAGTACTGTCGTATAAATATGTAGGACATATAAAAAAAAAGCCACCAAATGAACGTTTTGTTTATTTATTTATTTATTTTTTTAAATTACATGTTTACGAACTTATTAGTGCAATAGCTAATTAATGTAAGATATTGTTAACTTTTAATTATTATCTTAATTCATTACTTGAAATAACTTCGAAATATTTACTTATTTACTTACTAATATCAATCACACTTTTCAATATCTTTCAATATCATATCGCATCTTATATTTATGTTTAAATATTATCAATGATTTATCACCATTTAAAATTTGAATTTAAAATTTAAATTTTAAATGATATTCACAGAATATGTATGCTAATTTTCAGAGGTTAAAATAAGCCCAAAGTTATCACCACCACATTCACGAGAAATTTCATCAACTTATCCAATACAACCATCCATTGAGAGTCATGATCGAGACGACGATGAAGAATTTGAAATCATCCCAATTTCAAAAACTGAAAAACCGGAAAGTAACAGGATACGGGATACGATATTATCAAGTGCTACAACAACAACTATTCCCGTTTCCGAAGAATCTTCAAGACAACAGCCATCATTTTACAACGGTCAAAAACATGAAAGAATCACTGCCGAAGTATTTATTCGAAATCCAACAAATTTAAAACCAACAATAATTAATGTTTCTGTTAGTGATAAGAAAGCTAAAAAACCATGTTGGATGATATTGCATACATATGAATCACCATCATCTGATATAACTGATAAAAGTAATATTACAAGAAAAAAATTTGATAAAACAATGGTTCATTTTGGATCTGATAATTGTTTGAATAAAAAAAGCAATGAAATGGAAAATTTAACGATTAAAAATCGTCCCGAAACAGGAAATAATATTATTTCAACTATTACTATCCCAAAATTGAAACAGGAAATATTTGAACGAAATCAAATAAAAATGTCAACAATATCTGATTCTGAATTACGATCAAAAATAAATCTTACAGTTAAAACTCGATTAAATACATCAATTGAAACAACAGTTATCAGTGAATGTAAGTCTTTTATTTTATATACTTTATCTTATCATTAATAATTAGCAATGATAATTTCAAAATAATCAAAAAAATTTTTTGTGTAAGTTGTAAAAATTACTATATTATCATAAGATGGTAATAGGGAATTTTTCAATTATCATTAAAATCTTTTTTTAAATTTTTAAAATTTTTCCGAAAAATTTTTTATCATTTAATATATAAGAAATATTTAAGATAAAGTAACAGTTATCAGTGGAAGTAAGTTTATTAGTTATACGGCCAAACCGCTCAAGCCTGCATTGAATGAATCTGATATCGATCATATCACTTCAATGCAAACATCATACAGTAATTTATTATCCAATATATTAACCATATCAAAAATTAATCGATAATTTAATTTTATCAATGATTATTTTGCAAAAAAAAAAATATTTCTCATTACAATTTTCATAATGAAATAAGACAAATGCGCTTAATTTTCAGCAAAAATCTCAGATGCTAACGATACGTTGGCGAATGATTTTCAAACTTTAGTAACAATGAAAAGGGATGAAATTTGTAAAATTCATCATACTATAGCTTTTGAACAATTGATAACAAATGATAATGAACAAGTGGAAGTTTGTCGGCGTGGCTCATCAATATTTTTCATTTTTCGCTACAGTAATAATCCTCAAACTTTGGATAACCTTTCAATTCACTTTAAAAATGGTACCATTAATTTAATTCAAATTTTTCGTACCTTTTGAAAGATGATATGAGATAATTAAAGTCTTAAGCTTGTTGTTGTTAATGAAAATTCATTTTAACAAAAGTTTATTAATTTTTAAAATTATCACAATTATCTTTTTAATAAATACCTAATCATTCTTAAATTAGGAACAATGTTGTAGCTGATAATAAAGGAATCTATAATAACATTAGAGAATTAATAATTTTAAAATATTCTATATAATATCTTGGGCGTATTTTATAATTAAAATCTTTTTGAGTTGCAAAAAACTAATTAATTATCGTGAAAGTTATTAAAAATGTAACCGGAAAGTTTTAATTAATATTGAAAGTTAGAAAGTTTTGATTAGTATTAAAGTTATTGATTGAATGATTAATGTTAACGTATTCAATCTTTCCCATCCTTTATATTGCAACATTTTGATTTTGATATTTGTATGCTATCGTCTGGTGACACATTTCAGAGTTGACAAATCATGAAATTACAATTTTGGCAATAAAACATAACGATTCAACTGAGTTATCAATAATAAATTGGCATGCAACATATAAAATTTTAACAACAGATACAGCATTATTTGAAGTAAATTTTATTTTTATAAACTTTAACCTTTATTTGATAATAATTAAAGATATATGTTATTGATTATTTCTAACAAAAATTTTCAATCTTTGATTTTTGTTCGTAAATTATTCGTTCCATTTTTTTTCTTACAACAAAAGTTATCAAAAATGATAGCAATAAATGATAATTATTTAGATCGTAACACCAACTGATATTCCAATCGGTCTTTGGAAAATGACTATACGATATGATGAAAAATCAATTTTATACACTTTAAATTTATGCATTCTGTTCAATCCATGGCATAAAGGTTTAAATTTTATATTTTATGATCAATCGATAATTCCTATCTTTCAACATTAGATATTATAAAATTTACAAAATTTTTTTTTTTACCATTTTATAGAAGACGAAACTTATTATTCAAATGAATTGGAATTGGATGAATATATATTGAATGAGTTAGCTGTGATGCGCAAATGGCATCAAAAGGATGCTTGGCTTCTGGGACAATTTAGTGCTATTTGTATGAATACAGTATTACATCTGTTAGAATTATGCCTTAAAATAATTTATTAAAAATGAATGAACTTGGATCTGCATCTGCAATTGTTAAAGCAATTGCTGCAGCTGTAAGTGTAAATTTTATATATAGTTTACAAATTTCCTGATTTGATTGTTGTCTTAAAACAAAATTGAAAATTAAAATAAAATAAAATTGGAAATTAAATTGGAGTTAAAGTTGAAATTACGAAATTTTATTTAACACTTTAATTCTCACAATTTATTGCTTTCTTTTTCTTTGTTAATTTTTCAGGCTTTTTAATTTGAATTTTATAGATTAGTAAGTTTATATTGGAAGTTAAATGGAATGATTTTCAACGAAGTAATTGTGAAAATGAAATTTTGCCAAGTGCTTGGACAGGTAGTAAGGAAATAATGGAAATATATGGAAGGATGGGTAACAGAATTGGTTATGGACAATCATGGTGTTATGCTGGTCTTCTTACGTCAAGTGCGCCTATTTAAGTCTTAAAATATTGAATTTTAATTTAATTAAAAAATAAAACATTATGAAAACAGCTATTTAATCATTATTTTTTGGAGCGATTTTATCTTCGAATTTTTTTTTTGAATAATTTTAAGAAAACTTTTATTTGGAAAATTTATGCAAAAAAAAAAAGATTATAGTCTGCCGATGTATTGGAATTCCATGTCGTATGGTAACAATTTATAATTTTGCTCCACAAATTGAGGATGGCGCATTAATAAAGTTAGATATCATTGATGATATGCTTGCTGAAAAAAGCAAAGATACCGTATGATTTTTGTTAATGCATTTATCGTAGTTTTGTAATAATAATAATTTGATTTTACGGTAAGGTTATAATTTGATGAATTAATTAATGTAATATTAGAAAAAATTGCAACAATATCTTCCATATAGTTTTAATTAATTTATTAATCATTCGATAAATTCATTGGAAATTATTTATGGTAATATTTCTATCAACATCAATTCATTTTATATTTTAATAATTTATTAATGAATGATATTTTAATGAGACATATATTAGCATAAACTGTATGAAGCATAAATTGTATGAGATGAGATTGATAATTTAAGACAAAAAAAAAAGGATAAATGATAAATTCTTAATAATATGAAAATTAATTTGAGTAAGAAAGTAGAAATGAAATTTGAAAAAATTATTGAATATTGCAAAACTCAAAAAATTATTATAAAAATACTGATAGCATGATAGTCGTTATGATAACCGTGATTATCATGTAAAATCGAGTTCATTTAAAATAGAGTTAAAATCGAATTCAAGTTCATTTTCCACTTTAATCATTTTATTATTAATTAGACAAAAGAGCATAGCTAAATTCTCTTTTGACAATTACATTTCCAAAGAGTAATGTAAAAATTTAAATTTAAAAAAAATAAATTCAATTTATTATAAATTTATAAATTTATTATTGAAATTGAAGGTGTTTAAATTTTATTTAAAATTGAAAGTAATTAAATTTTTATTATTAATATGCAGATATGGCATTATCATATATGGAATGAATTATGGCTTCAGTCAGAAATATTAAAAAATGGTGATAATGAATGGCATATTTGTGATGCTACTCCAACCACAAAAGGTTATTTTAGTAAAAAAAACTTTTTTTTACTAAAATTTTTTTCTTTTCATCCCATTGTCTTACATGTTACTTATCAATTTATCATTTTTCTTTTATTGATAAGATAAAGTTATATGGTTAGTTTCTTTTAACTTTTCATAAACATTAATTAAATGAAAAAATTTTATTTGTATTTCAAAAAATTTTATAGCTTTTTTTTTTAATTTTATATTTTTCAAGTGAAAGGACAATTAGTGGAAAAAATAAATTGTTTATTAATTGTTGATTGTTCATTAATTGTTAAATTGTATATTAATTTATTAATTGTTAACAACATTAATTATTAAGTTGCTTGGTAATTTTTTATTCCAGAACAAGATAGATTATTAAGTCAAGAAAAAGGATTATTTCCGGTAAGACGGATTAAAAATGATGATGGAAAAATGAAACAACAAAAAATGAAAACGAATATTTCGGTCAGCAACTTTACGGAATGCTAAATGCCACTATTATTTGCAATTATTATTATCATGATCCGGTTACACATAATCCAATTTTTGCATATTCCAAAAAGCTTAAGAAAAAGTAAAGTTTTAATCTTTAATTATCTTCCGATATGTTTTGAAAAAAAAACTTTACGACATTTTTTTTTNTTTTTAACAAAAAAGTAAAGTTTTACGG